ACACTTTTTTAAGTGTTACAGTGATATTTCGTTGGCCTCCGTATTAGCGCATTGCGCCGAACGCGGATAGCATGATGTTGTAGTCGCAAGGGAGCAATTGATTCGAATAGACGTATTGTACCGTACCGCATCATATTGTATTTCAAACTTTTATATCACGTGGCGTGAGAGCGTGTGGTCACGGAGCCCCCGGTGGAGGCGCTATAGACCCTGCACGGTGGCCCCGGTGGCGGCGCCATTGTTTACGGGGGGCGAGAGCAGGGGTCACGGAGCCCCCGGTGCAGACGCTATAGACCTGCACGGAGGCCCCGGTAGAGGCGCCATTGATCACGTGGGGCGTGACCGTGGGGTCGCGGAGCCCCCGTGGAGGCGCCATAGACCCTGCGCGGTGAGAGCGTGGGGTCACGGAGCCCCGGTGGAGGCGCCATAGACCCTGCACGGAGGCCCCGGTGGAGGCGCCTTTGATCACGTGGGCTGAGAATGTGGGGTCACGGAGCCCCCGAAGCATGCTGAAGAGACCCCGTGTGTGTGAGATGTATGATGTACAATTAGAATTTCAACGATTTATAAATAAAAGTACACACGGCTGAACTCAACGATAAATTTATTAATAAAATTATTTACAAAACTTAGGATCGATAAATTAAACATCAAAACTGAACATCTGAAATAATCAATAAATTATTAACAAACTTCAATATTCAAAATTAACGCGCAAAACTACAATCAAGTCCCGACATACATATTTATTTATCGTGTATATCTTATATGACGGATATTGTTTGGAATTTATACATATGTTTATGTTTATATATTTTAAATTTTATATTAAATATTTAAATAAATAGATAAAGTATAGCATTGTATTTTATTGTCTCTCAACGCAGAAACAACTTGTGTGTTGGATAGAGATGGCGTGCAAAATCACTAACGGTGATTTATCACAGTGATCGCCGAATCACGATCACGGTCGTGATTTAACTTCATTCACAACCGTGATTGCGATTTTTCTATCTTGGGTGAATTTGCTCACTGCGATCGTAAGTCCTTGATCTTTAAACAGAAAAACGTATTCAATATGATTTTACGATAATTACATTACTATTCGTGTTTGTAAACATCAGTAGAAAAAACATGTAATTCTAAAAAAATGATTTGCTAGGTAACATGTAGATTATAATTTGTAATCATTAATTTATTCATTATTCTTCATTGTTTTTACTTATTCCTTCACTTTATACGATATAACCCTAATTTTTGTTTTGATGTCGTTAATGTGAAATATACAAATTATGTATCGCGTGTAAAGAACTGTTAGGTTTCTCCACCAATAAGAAACGATCACGGGAAATCACGAATCACTGTGAAAAATCATCGTGATTGGGAACGAACGTGATCGAATCACGAATGATTCACAAGTAGCAGTTCACGCCATCTCTAGTTACGAGAGTGTTACCGAACGACAGATTTATATACAACAAGGGGGTGGGGGCACGGGCAACCGATGAACCTACGAGATAAAATTACATTGTGTCGTCTCCATCTATGCTTTCATGTGTTTTTGTGTGTCGCAGGTGATACAACGCAATTCGCGCGTAAACAGGGTAGAGATATACGTACATACGTACGACGAACCGGTCATTGTTTACAGTTTAGAATAACAAACGTCGTGCTGTATCTTTAGCATGAAAAACAAATGTGGTAATCATGAAACGGATACTATCTTGGAGTAATTAATTATGGTGAATAAAGCAGCGTTTATCTTTCTTTTCTTTTTTATAACCGTTAGTTACGGGAATATTCTATACATCCATGTGTACACTTTGGAGCAAACTCGGCTTCCACTAAGGGAAAAAGTGACGCAGGAGAACGGCCTCCTACCACTTGATAAATTTATTTCAAGTACTGAAATAAATATTAAATTGAATGATAATTTGTCATAAATTTCAATAATTCCCAATACCAAGTGGTAGGAAGCCTTTTCCCTACGTCACTTTTTCCCCTAGCGGCAGTCGAGTTTGGTCGCGAGAATACATAACTTACAAATTTATATTATTGTTTGTTGGGAAATTTTTTTGTCCAGCTTTTCCCTCGATCGAGTCTCGATCGTTCAAACACGTTTTGCAATTCTAAACTTGATTTTCGACTATCCATCTCTATTTAGTCCAACGGGCCCTTTCGCATGAGGGATTGATATGTAGCAACAAAGAAAGCAGGAACGGAAGAAAGCATTGTAGAGAACAACGGAGATCCGTTTGGAAAGATAGGATTGCGTCCTGCATGCGACGCGATATCTTCGTATGTACATATTTCTATTCTTCTGTTGGTATATGAGAAGGTCGCAGCTGAACGAGCGACAATGTCGAGGTTAAGATACGCACCTTTCTTGATAGTCCCCTCAATACATATCTCTCGCCAGTTTTCCGTCTCCCTGCTATAATCAAGTCACCAGCTTATCTGCAAAACAATTTTGTTTTTCCCCATTCTGCGTTACTCTAATCATCCGAACTATTATACAATTCTCCAATCACGAAATTTAATTCGGTGGAAGAACAGATGATGTGACTCGACACGACGCAACATTTCGTATTATTACAGGCCCGTTGCGAAACTGGTTTGTTTTGTTCAAGAGCTCGCTTGAATTGGTCCAACTTCCCGGTCGAAAACGCTACGCGTGAATACGCTTGAAACGCAATCTAAGGAATGACAAACACAGTGTTTTCATGTGTCGTCGTTATTTACCTTGATCTTTAATTCAATCGTTACTATTATTATGTTAATATAGTCAAATGGTATAAACAGAAAATTCGTATACATATTTATTATCGGAAGAATATGTAGACGCAATCGTCACGGGCATTAAACAATCGGGCTATCACATCCTTCCGGTATAATCAAATGTGTATCTTGATCTAGATCACGTCATACAGAGATTCCATTAACTACTTTTCATCCTCGAAAGGATTCTCCTTGTATGAGATCCGTTTGAACAAACTGATACGAAAACATCGTTGCGCTCGATCCTCGACCGTCACTACAACTCCCTTTCGCTAAAATGTTTTTACTCCCGCAAGTTCCATAACATTGTGTTTCTAAATCAGAAAAAACAATAAATCGATTGCCTCGTCCCCCTGTGAAGACGAAACGGTCGGAGTAAAATTTTCATTTTTATTTTTTTTTTTTCGTCTTTTACACAGAGCGTGTTTATTATCGGTGGGAGACGGGCTCGCTTACTCGGTAGAACTCGATGGGCGATCTGGGTCAACGATCCGACGCGCTCTCCGTTTCCTGTCTTTCTCTGCTGAAAGCAGAAGGAGGCTTGGCCCCTGGTCCGAGGACCGACAACCAATCGGAACGCTTCTATCCACGAAAACATGGCTCGCGTGTTTTCTCCGTCTCGGTTTCGATCGTGCGAATGTCTTCTTTTCCCTCTACGCGCGTGGTACTTACTCACTACCGATAAACAATGCTATCGAAACTCGGGGGTACTCTCGACGTTGGCTCAGTTGGACTCGGTAACTCGGACGAAGCGGAACCACGGACGCGAGTTTCTATCGCTGCTTTAGCGCGGAATATCAAGAAAATTTCAAGACGAGACAAATTCGTCGCGCGAGGCACAATATTTTTTTTTTGCCGACGCTGTTCTCGCCAAGTTCTTAAAGTGAAGAAGCCCACCGTTGCGTGAACTGTTGTGCTTGGACTGTTATCATCGCGGAAGCCACGGAGTTGGAAGCAGAATTTTTAAGATCCGGTAAGCGGATTTGACGTCGACGCGACTCGAAATAACAATAATTATATACATAGTATTTAACGATAGAAAACAACGATGAGGAAACCAAGTCCACATTTGAAATAGCGTTCGTTCAGCAACGTTAGACCCGAAAGGATTTGGTAACCGCGTTCAAACTGGTCCAACCGGTCCAAACTACCGTGAATAATAACAAATGACGAGGATGTTGGTTACGCAGTTTTGTTCATCTTCGCACGTCTATTGTCATTGGTTTCGTAAAGTTCTGTTGAACATTCATTCTCAGTTCTTTTTATTTTTCCTCTTACAATTAGACACCGTCAATTAGAGCGTAGCTAGATTATTATGGGTAGATTGTGTGCGTTTTTTTCGACGCGTTCGTGTGACTACGAATCCGAAACGAGAAGAAGAAACGATCCACGAGATTCATCGAATTCAATGTCAGGTCCATGGTCGAGGAATTAATCTGGGTACCGGCCAACCGTTGAGAATCCGGATATTATGTCTGTTCCGCTGTGCATTAGTCACCGGCGCACGCGTATAGCTTTTGTTTGCTCGTTAAACGTCAGAGAAGTTTACCGATATAATATAGAACGACGAGTTGCTATTCCAAAATTGGATTCACGCGGACATCCGTGTTGTGGTCGTTCATCGATCGCGACTCGTCGACCGTGCAACCGTGTTTCCACGCGACAACCAATTTCAATCGCGACGAAGCAGATATTTGAATCGACAGTTGCAGCCTGCTCGATCGGAACGATTAACGGACGGATAAAGATGTTTGTCAATTTCCATAAGATCGGTTGCTCGATATCTTATCTGTAAACACGACGAGGTGCCGTGAGTCATCCTTTTGTTTACCGAAATACGTTTCGTTTCAGGTTACATGTATATACCGTATATGTATACATATACTCTTGAGTTTATACGTACAAGCATACACTATCGTTCATAAGTATTAGGACACCTGGCTTGTCTGAAGAAAATGGATGTTTCATAAATATGACACAGTCTGGGGCACTTTAACTATTTTATATTAGCGTAATTGTTAACGATCATCGAGCTTTGAGTTTCCCTAGACAATATTTACTTCCGACCTGCAACAATTCCGTAATGCTTTATCTACTTCATATACGATCAGTGTTCTAATACTTATGCACGGGAATGTATATGGGTCTTCTCGCTGGTAGATTCGCAGACGATTCTATTACATAGTTCGGTGATATATGCTATATGTACGGTTTCCAACAGGAAACGCATGCATCTTCGAATTCGTTACTTTCTCCTCCCGAATCGAAACGTTTCCACTTTAATCCTGCTGTAAAGCCTTGTCACGATTCCTTTAATGAAACGAATGTTTTCAACGATTCTCACACACGTTCTAACCTCCACGGTAGAGACCACGCGACGATTGTAAAGAAGCGCCCAGTTCCTTTGCTTTCGACCAGCTTGGACAAGCCTCCGTCCGGTGTTTAAAACGGGAAATTGAAGGAGATTCGAGGAAGTAAGAAACGATCGGTGTAACAGTCGATTCGGTAAACGCGTTTACGACCAATGAAGTATGCACTTGTACATACATACATATACTTTCTCCTACAGCGGCACGCTGACCTGCACCGCCTGTTTTACTTTTTTCGTTGTGCACATCGACACAGCCATTCCATCTGGTACGCGATTAAACAACAAACCGGTATTGCATAAGCACGTGTCGTAACGCGATGTAACGGAAATGAACGGGAATGGAGTGAGATAGCCGATTGTCAATCGAAATTACGCGGAAGAAATGAAGGACACCTGGTACAAAGATTTGGTAAAAGCACAAATGCTTTCGACGCCAACAATCCGATGCCATTTTCGCGTGGCATTTATGTCTTATTATAGCTTCCTCCTTCGATATTTCACGAACGATTAATTTTCATCCCGTGGACGGAAAATGTCACTAGTCATCGTTATTCGGCGCTGACAGTGAGTAACGCAACCACCGTTGCTATATAGATAACATGTAGTACATACTTGCAATACACTGAACACTGACGCAGTCATCGTTGCTGCATTCATGGATTCGTTGAATGAAAAGGAAACATTGTCCACGTATGGGGAAAATGAAGGACTATGGACTAACCTATAAATCGTAACGCGACAAAACATAGTATCTCCGTAAAAGCATTGTATTCGACCGGTACTGTACGATAAATTGCCTCATTCTTCGACTTGATCGTGATTACTTTCGATACGGTTTCGATTGCATAAGCGTGCCACCGGCCCAAGTCGTGGTGTGGAAAAGAGAGGGAAAAAGGTCGTGGCCGAAATGACGCGTAAATAAGATTTTACGGTTTGAAAGTCGCCCGCCAATGACGAAATTTCAGAAGGGAATCGATGCTACCGAGAGAGGGGAGATAAATTGCAAAGAATTCCGGTCCGGTGGATTTCGATGAATCTGTTCCGAAGACCAAAGATGAATTCGTCGAGTATGTATGTATGTATTTTGATTTTCGTTGGCTCGAGTCCCTTTCGCCTTGACAATTCGCCGAACGTCAAACGACTTGCCGTTGCCGTTCGAATGACTCGTTCACGTTGAAGCATTTTCTTATAAAAAATTTTCTTCGCGTTAATTATGCCCACTTTGTTCTCGACGTCCATCAGGAAAAGCGAAAGGAGTGAACATAATGAACGAAAAGGAACCACGGGAATATATTCGTAGCAATCTGAGGAAAATAGTGTTCCAACGATTGAATTTCTTGAAATTCGTCCAACCGTCGATTTCGCGCGTCTACCGAGTTTTTGTACGAACGGGCTGGCTGTCCAACTTACGCAAGATCGACTCCTCTCGTGTTAAGGCTTAGGGATCTCTGTCCGTATGTAGTACGTAGACTTCACAAGAACAGTCGAGCCAATGATGTACGCAGTGATACGGAATTTGAATGCTCTGTAAAAAAGAGTAACGAGTACTCAACGTTGTACGATTGGTATCACGCCGTTGTGTGAGATACGCGTTCATCCGTCGAACAAAGTGCAACATTCAAGATACCAGGCGTTGCGTCAACGAAGTTTTGTCAGTGTAACGGAGTTCAGCGATTAATTTTTCGAAAGTAACAATCACGTCGAAACGGAGTGGACACTCGCGTGGTGGTTACCTTTGATTCGTTCACATGAAACGACCGAGTATAGAACTTGCGTAACGATAAGTAGCGTTTTAATTTCTCGGTTGTACGATTTCACTGGCGTCGAATTCCGATGCATGACATTCGATGAAATTGGATTCGATTTGTATCGTTTTAATCGATGTTTCTTGGCGAAACTATCGAACCCAGTAGAACGAATATGACTGCTGTAGAAAAATTTTAAATCGAAAAATTTGATATCGCGTCGTCGATAGAGGCTCTCGAAACATCTGCTACGATGAACACTCGGCTGAACGAAAATACTTTTCTTTAACTGGTGCTTTTGTTTACGTTGCAGGTTCGGTGCGATTCAAAGAACGCGGTGAACGATAGATCCTCGTCACGTGGTCATAACGCGTCTTATTGAGCGACGCGCCATCGGCGCACGGATTGGACGGGACGGGCCACGTGACCTTTCGGAACGTCAACTGTGACTACCGTCTGCTGGTGCTCGGGCGGATTTCTCAGCAAACCTTCCACGAACAAAGGATAAACTTTTGCCTTGGTCGAAGTTGCGAATTTCCTCTTACTGAGGGATCGCTTAGTCTCCCCGACCTTCGATCAGTACATTTGTGATACAAGTTTCGGTGCAGTGAGTGTTCGCGATAAATCAAATTTCGCCGTTCAATCGAGATATTTACCCGGCGGCGACTACTTGACAGTTCCTCGATCGTCTTCGAGTCAGTGACACGGCTTCGTCGCAGAACCGTTGGATTTCGGTTTCAAAGTCCATCGCGGCCCTCGACCACGGTCCGTTCGAGGACGACGCGTTTTCGCGACCTTCGTATATGTCGTCGAGAAACAATGTGTACCGACATGGTTAAGTGAATCCTCGAACAGAATATAGAGTGGATCGTAGTCTTGTCTTTGCTATCAGTAAATTTCAAAGTCACGTCCGCGTTGGTCCGGTGTCGCGGCAATTTCGAAACAGCCCAAACGCGAGAGCGGTCATTGCCTTTTTGGCCTTTCGAGAGCGATTCGATTAAAAATTGATACGAAGATGTACAGCATGAACTACATCGGGAAATTTATCAGTAATTTCCGAGACTTCTACAATGAAATAAATGCGGCAACGCTTACCGGTGCCATCGACGTCGTCGTCGTTGAGCAACCGGACGGATCCTTCACTTGCTCGCCTTTTCACGTGCGTTTCGGGAAACTTGGTGTACTTCGTTCCAGGGAGAAAGTGGTGAGTGCCTTTTATTGAATAATCGACAGAAGGTTTCACAAATTGTAGGCAAATATTAATTCATGGAAATCTTTTTCATAGGTGGACATAGAGATAAACAGCGAACCAAGACAAATTCATATGAAACTAGGGGACTCTGGAGAAGCATTCTTTGTAGAAGAAGTTTGTTCCGATGGTTCTCCAACAGATACAGAAATTCCACCTCATTTGGCGTGCTCTCCCATTCCAGACGATGCATGCTTCCCACCATCCCGATTCAATGTTCTCTCCGATCTTCCTATGGAGCATAAGGAGAAGATTCTAGAAGAATCTGTTTTGTCCATAGAGAAAGAGAAGTGGGAACAAATGTCTGCTCTACCTCCGGATCAACGAGAAAGGTTTTTGATCGAACAATTTTCAGACCTTCCGGCAGAAAGCAGGGAAAAGTGGCTTGAGATCGCTTCTCTGACAGCTGAAGAAAGGGATGAAATGTTCAAAGAGAATTTTGGTAATATATCCACCTTGCAGAAACAGAAAATGATTCGCGAACAATATTCTGCTCTGAAAAGCGAGGACAAAGAAAGATTGTTCAAAGAAAATTTTCCTGAATTACCTGCCGAACAAAGACAGAAGTTCGAGATAGCACTGTTGAGCGATTGGAAAGAAAAAGAAGAGGAGAAGCGGGATTCCCTAAAGAACGAGGAAGAAATTTTTGACATGGATGGTATAAATGACGATGAAACGCGTCCAACCACTGCGTCAACTCCTAAATCGTTTGTAGCCGTAACCTCCTCCGATAGAATTCGTAAAATCAGCGTAGTAAAGAACGATTTCAGACCGATCATGGACGACCCGCAAAGTAGTTCGAAGGAGAAGTCCAGTGACGAGTCGAACACGTCGTTGAACAAGAAAATTGTTAAAGACGAGCCCGTAGAAGAGCATAAGAATAGCAATTCGACGAAACGAAAGCGAAAGAGGAAGAGCATTATGAAGAAGAAAGGATCACAGAGGAAGACCAGCAACGGCAGTAGTAGCCAGACGGAAATGAGCGAAAACGATGTCTGTGTACCGGACGAATCTCTCAGCGAATCTGTAAGTTGCCTCTACGTAAAAAAAACCTTCACATTTATACATTAGCGTTGCGTATTGATTCGTACATTGGATGAAAGATGTTGAAGGGGCCTAGTCCGGTTGCCGAAATAGAGAATATGAACGCCTCTGCCGAACCCGTCGTGTCCGTTCAAGAATCGTGCGAGAAACGACCCGAGACAGACTTCCATTTCTTCAGCGATACAGAAGTCACAAAGTAAGCCGTTGTGTCTATGTGCCTAAATTTGACGGGGCATGCAAATAAAAATTTCAAATGAGAATATACGAAAATAAATTATTACCGTGTTTTGTCGTCGTCGTGTTTCATAGGAATCAAGATTCTAGACCGTGTTCCCCAGTTCAGTCTGACACAGAGTTTGAAATGCGAAAAATCACGCAAGACAGCGCAGAAGGAGAAGAAGATAAAAGTCTTCAGCAGAGCTGGAAATGGGGCGAATTACCAACTTTACCCCCAGACACAGCTCATACGTCTCACAGGAATTCGTTGAATTCTTCGACCACTGTTAATCAACCGAACAACAGTTGGTAGCATTTTCAATATATCCATTCATACTGCTCGATCGTTCGTAAATATTTGTACTAATAATTTAACCGTTTTTTAATTTTAGCGGAAGCACATCGGTCGATGCTCAGTGGAATGTTCTCGTTTATGAAGAAGACTTCTCGTGTAAGACACAATCCAGAGTCCGGGGGAATTTACCTCAGCGACATAAATGCTGATGAACTGGATCCCGAAGTCGCAGCTCTTTACTTCCCTACTTCTCACAGAGGTCCGACCGCGGCGAAAGGTGCAAATAACTTGTAGCTGTAGCTTTATTTCCGTGTAAATTAGTATATACTTTTTACGAGAACCAAACTGATCATTCATATTACTTCACTTTCTTCAGTTTTTATTTAAAATGCCTGAAATACATCAAATGCTCGAGTCTTACCGTTTTTAACAATTTTCATAACCTATTTCGTTTGAATGTTCAAATTAAAACTACGCAAGATGCACCTAATATTAAAAAAGTGTCCGTTGAGACAGTAAAAGGTGTCAAGCATATAATTGTTTGTAGACGGGAAAATGGTGGACGAAGAAGATACCGAATCGGGCAATGGACCGAGTTTACCGCAAAGTCCAAACAGTGTTGTGGGAGCTATTGGAGGGCCAAAGTCTTTGGACAGTGACTTCGAAGAACCAAAACATACTATGTTTGACAACAACATGGACATTAGTCTATCTCTGTGCGGTGGTTTGGATTCGGAACACGGCCCGTCCAAGGAGGCTTTCCATCAAAATTTGCTTCAATTCGAGGACGTCTGTTCGGATCCCAAGTTGTACGAAAATCCGAATTTGGTTGTAAAAATCAGCGGAAAGTTTTATAATTGGCTTACTGCCTGTCCCATCGTGATAACTTACGCTGCTTTTCAACGGCACTTGCCGCAAAATACAATCGAGAATCTGTACGCTCAGTCTATGCCGTTGCCGATGCACGAAGAGAAAAAACAAGAGAACAATGGTAAACCTGAAACACGCAGCGGTTACAGTTCCTGGTTTTCGTGGCGACGTTCCACGCAGCCGTCTAAAAAGGCCCAGGACCTTAGTCAAAGTAAGCTGCCTTTTATTGTCGCATTGGAACGATCGTGCCGCGATATACATTTTCAATGTTACGTATGAAATGTTACAGCCGATGGAGGTGGAGTGAATCTACAGGCTTCGGAACAATCGGTTGGTGCAAAGGAAAACAATCTGATGGACGAAATGTCGAGCAGGGATGGAAAGATCGATCAAGGTGCCGAATCTATGCCTGTAGTCGAGACTGGAGAAGAATGTACCAAACCAACGAAAGATATGGTCAAGACCGAGAAGAACCGGGAAAGAGAAGGTGAAGGTTACAGCGGCAGCGAAGATTCCGATAGCAATCAAAACGAGTCACAGGGGGTTAAGATACCCAAGGAAAGAAGATCTTATTACGAGTCGACTGAAAAATACCGCAAAACACTGAGATTATCATCTGCGCAAATAGTACGTATTTTGACTTTTATCACAGACGAGATATAAGAATAGACCTGACATCTTACGGGACTTGGTGTCCCGCGCAAAATCACGCTGGTTTGAGCGCAGTCCACATAAAAGTTTCCGACTTCAGGAACTACGTTCGACACCGTGATGACGCACAGAACACACATACACACCACACCTGTGACCAGGGTCGTTCCTGAGTTGATGGCAAAGAATTGAAACAGAAAATTACATTGCATGTTAGATCTATTCTTGTATCTCGCCCGTGCTTTTATACAGTGTTGTATCGCATGCACGCCATCATTTAAAATGAACCTTCTCTTCTACAGGCGAGTCTTGACTTAAAACACGGGGCCAACGAAGTCGTTTTTAGCGTGACAACGGCTTACCAAGGCACGACCCGTTGCAAGTGTCACATTTATAAATGGAGATGGGACGATAAGATCGTGATCTCCGATATCGACGGAACTATTACGAAGTCTGACGTGTTGGGTCATATTTTGCCAATCGTTGGCAAAGACTGGGCCCAATCAGGGGTGGCTCAATTATTTACAAAAATTAAAAATAACGGCTACAAATTACTCTATCTGTCGGCAAGAGCAATCGGGCAAGCCAGGGTTACCAGAGAATACTTGAAAAGCATCAAACAGGGTGACTTGTCGCTGCCCGAAGGCCCGTTACTTCTAAATCCGACCAGCTTAATTTCAGCATTCCACCGCGAAGTCATAGAAAAGAAACCCGAGGAGTTTAAAATATCCTGCCTCAGCGATATTCAAGCATTATTCCCGGAGGGCTCCAAACCTTTTTACGCTGGTTACGGAAACCGGATTAATGTAAATGTTTTTTTCAACGTATCTTAAGCTTCGATAGTAAATGTCGTCGACGTATTTAATGCTCAAGATTTTCTTTTTGTGTTTTTGTTTAGGATGTTTGGGCATACAGAGCTGTTGGTATTCCGACAATGCGAATATTCACTATAAATCATAGAGGTGAACTGAAGCATGAGCTAACACAGACATTCCAATCCTCGTAAGTAACAACTATTGGCAATTTACAAATGTATTATTTTGATTTTTGACAGTATCTATTAATTTTTTTTTTTACACATCTACGCTCAATTAATTTAAAATCAAATATTTAATTGGAAGATACGTTGTGTCGCAGTGTTATTGTACGCTGAACGTGTCGAGTCGTTGCTTACAAATTTTTAAATACAGTCACCTTTTTTGCATGTTTAGTGCAGTTAGTTTTACCACTAGTACGCATATTAGTGCATCTCTATAGATAGAATCGAACTTGGCGGTGCTCGCAGTTACGTTTAACTGAAATGTTAATGCAAAACGAATACAAGCCAAGTGTCGAGGGTTATTCGAACGTGTGAAACAAGAGAAAATCGTAATAATTAGAGGGGAAGATTGCGTGTACACGATGGTTCTTGGAAGAAGTGTACTCATAGGAGGGATATTTCTGTGATTACAGCTACGCGTGTCAGTGCGATATCGTCAATGAGTTGTTCCCGCCACTGCCCGTACGAAACACCTACTGATGGCGGCACAACCATAACTGTTTCGTTCTGTTGATCCACTTACTCGTGTTTCTATAAACGGGACTCTTCCAAAGCAGTATTACTCGTGCCATTGGGCCCAGAAAATCCTGTCTATCTCGTACAAATAACTTTGCTACCTCATTGCCAAGAGTATTATGACAATTTATTTTTATATACGTATAGTAGAAACAGCGGTAGAGATTAATATAGTAGTTTCCTAACGAATTGATTTCGAGAATGATAATTATGTGCGCTCACGGTCGCACTTTGTACCATACATCTACATGATTCAACGTCTCCGCGTACAATTCTACGTAGTATTCCATAATTATACGTAAAAAAAAAAACAAGTATTGTCAAGAAGAGCAAAGTACGCGCGTGTCACACACCAAAACTAACTTCGAGGTGAAGTAATTCGACATTTAATTTGCCCTGATCAATCCATACCACTAGTATGTTTTGAGGTATTTGGTTGTGGAAGAACACCTTTATCTATCTCCTTACGATCTATAGGGTAAGCACTTGTTCTTAGACGGTTAGTTGCTTCTCATCATTCCATATTCACCGATCCTCTTTCATCTACGAGGCAGCCCCTAACGTTGTCAACCAGTTAATATGAAACCATAATCGACTAACGTCTTCCGAGAATTGTCTGTTCTCCCGATTGCACACCACTCTTCAACCAAGTACATCGAACATATTACAAAAGGCTCGTTTCCATTTCACCGAATTGCCCCATATTTAGATTTCAGCTGATTTTATTTTTTAATTTTTTCAAGAGAAGGTGATAGGTATTTTCAGATCAATCAGACATGTAATATACCATTTTGTGCCTTTCAAAACCCTCACCCTCATCGAGGTAATGATAGAAGACTAAAGTATCTTATCCATACATCTGTATTGTAACACTTTTCTACAACAACTAACAGTTTGACGTCCACTGATCCTTCTGTTCTGTGTCATTCGACTTTTGTTCAACGAACACGACATCGAAATAACGCTCGCCGTATAACACTTTTCCTGTATCGTTTTCTTTTTCAGTTACTCAAATATGAGCTACATAGTCGATCACCTATTCCCAGCCTGGAGGGTAGACGCCGCGGACGAGTTTAGTAATTTCGCGTATTGGCGAGATCCAATACCAGAACTGCCGTTGCTGGAGGAACTTTATGCTCAAACCCGGATTATCTGCTAAGGATTAAACGTGTACGTGTTTTGCAATCCACGCAAAACGATATTTTGTTCGTAATAAGAAAACGATCGTCGTATTTAGCTACTTTTTATACTCCACGTATATACACATATATATCGGCTACAGTGTTGTTGTTGACTGGTGCGACATTTTTTTAATGTGTTTGCAACGCGATCGTAGGCTTGGCATTTGATGTATTCGGTTTGTCGATAGACGCTAAAAACAACGATAGACACGCGAGAAACAATTCTTGCCATTGATCTAAAATCTAAACGATTTACGAATAATACGAGATATCTAATAATCGTCAACGATTCGATTCAGCTACATTCCAATTCGATTAGAATAGGAGAACCGTTACTTACTAACGACGCTTACTTGATATTAAGCTACGTCCGTATTATTTGCGACGAAACTCTTGGAAACGGTCACGTGTTGTGCTCGATACGATATATATCCCGCAGGTAACCGATCGATAATCGAACCACTCTCGATACCGATCAGAACAATAAAAACGTAGTGACAGTTTGCGCGTGAAATGGTCTGAGTTGATCACAAAACGATTGTGCGTGCATAAAGGAATCGTTGGTTCGTTAGTAGACTCGCGAGGAAAGTTACTGAATATTCGCACTTCGCTACTCGCGTTCCTTTCAAGACGCTTTTCTTTCGTTTTAGTCGAAGCACCCCGATGGTAAGAAACTTTTAATCGAAATTACCTCTAGCACACGGGAGTCGAGCTGCGTATTGTAATATAATTTAAACATCTATCCTTAGTTTATTTTTATCGAACGTTTCATTTAAGGAATCCTTATTTATTTTTATACGAGATCTCTGTGGAATTAGTGTGCTGTGAGATTGCCATATCTTAGGACTTAGAATGATAATCATTTGTGTATTGCGATATTTCGATCCAACTAGTGCTTGGTAAACAAACAGCCAGGACCCCCCGATCACCAGTGTACAAAAACGAGTAGTTCGTGATTCGCAAGAAGAAAAATTCTTTTGTTTGTATATTTCCTTATACTGAGTTACTTTGATTTATAGTTCAATTCATTTCTAACTCACACACTGGATCGCTCACGAGTTGTCGTTTTACACGACACCACGTTTACGTACACCCGTGTCTTTCAGAATGTATCATCGAAGCACGCGTTAATAGAATAAAATAAGTTGTCGTTTCCTACAACAAAACTAGTGGAACACCAATAAGAACGACAGTAAAGCCATTTACTTTTTCGTTTCTTTGATATATATATATATATATACATAATACGTTTTAGCTTGTATTGTTCAAACATGCAAAAAGTACAATTACGTTCAACCAAAGAAGAATAGAGTTGGAAGTATTTACAGTTTCATGAGTTAGTGACTTTCGAGATGAGCTGTTTAAAGAGTTACAACAGTATATAGTTTCTATTCCAAGGAAGCCACTGTACAAAAAAAAATATCGACAATTCGATTCTTAATCGATCGGATGCAAACATCTCTCAGTGCAGGTTACTCGACGACATTGTGTGCATTGTGTTTGATTATTTCGTTCAAAAGAAGCGTTACGATGGAAAGAAACAATAATTGAACTATTATTCTTGCAACGTTTACGGGTAAACCGTTTAGGTATTTAAAGGTACGTTAATTATTGCTTTATAAAGAGTGTATATAATTCTAACGACGGTAGAACAATATTTTATAAGTTGTCGAATGTTTAATTTTTAGTATTATTTTATTTCTTCTGTTAACCATGTTATACCTAGTACAAATAAATTAAAATTTATTTATAGTTTCGTCGGTAGATTTTTTAACTAGAATTTTATATGCTCTTGCACAGTCGACCCTGTAAAGATTCTTACGCAAAATCTACAAAGTTCTTGTTCGTGACAGCTTTCTAGACATACTGTCAAGCTTTAATACTCTTGAACAACTATTAAATTATACAACATAATTTTGAAAGCCTTCGTACGCAACAGTCTTTAAGTATTGCTTGTCTAAATACAAATGTGTATGCAATAAATCATCATACGTAAAATCGCCAATGGTTAATCTGACCGATTGAATTCCATAATTCAGTTTTGTTTCGACCATCGGAAAAAACATCGATAGGTGTCTGCAAATGCGATATTATAACTACATAGAGTATAGAGGAAGTGATTTCCATATTTCCGTGTAACTGGTTCAGTATTATCTGTTATGATACGAGTGACTTTCTGTCTGTATTAATCGTATACCTTGTATCCATCAGTACAATAAACTACGAATTAATGGTCTAATCAGTTATAGATTCTAAAATTCCAATGTCCTGTAGGTAATGTTTTATTTCATTGTGTATAAACTCAAGCATATTGGAGATGATATAATCGTTTCAGTATTAAGGTAAAGAATCCGGGCTTTTTTTCTTTCTAATTCCGTCATGTTGAGTACAAAGATGTCCTGCTTGGCCAACGGGTTTTACTCTACAATGAAATGAATAAGTAATAGTCGTTTTCGTTAATAGTCGCCTTCAAACAGCATTCGCACGAGTCCGCGACTTATAAAGCTAACCTCGTATTTTAGTCTATCTTTTCTACGTCTTGTATTCTCTTCATCCTCCGATATATCTGTAGAATCGACTGAAGTTCTACTACTCTTTTCATTGGAGTTTACATTTAGAACAGGTTTACAGTCTTCATTTCGCGAAGTTTCGGAACACCAGTAATATACGGTCTGCGACGTGTATAACGATAGGACAATTTAAATTATCGTCGCAGAACGTCAATCAGTGTAGCGTCACTTACCCATAATACTCCAATTATCCATAACAAGGTAAAATATATTGGTATTAACATACTTTTGCATATCAAAGATTTCAGTAATGATTACTGTATAAAAAATACTACATACTTTTTATTGTATGAAAATTTAATCTTTCATGATGGTGTGTATATCAGTTGTTTTAAAATTTAAAAGAATGAAAATGCACAAACTTCATGGTTTTGTTCAGAATTAATCTACAAGGTGAAGAATTTATTATTGTACAGGATATACAAAGTATTATATAATATGTGCCTATATTAAAAATTTGTGTATCTTTTTCAATGACATAGCATACATTTCAGGTACTGTCAATTCCTTGTGTTTCTTCCACTTCCATTTCCTCTTCGATGGTTTTTTCTGTGTCTTCTCTGGACACGAGTTGTTTGTATCCGTGTTTTTTAGAATATACTCCCAAAGGTGTCAATTTAAAAGTAGCTAGCGATTTATCCAGTAATTTCTAACATAAAGGAGACTCATTGAAACAAATTGTTCAATTGTATCATGACAACCAAATAACACTTACCAATATCCTTGCTTGTTCTGGAGTTAATGCTTGTCCTTTCTTACAAACATTGTACTCTTTGATTAACACCACTACACCCTTCTGGAGAGCTGTTGGCATTCCTAACTGCCTCAGATGAGGTTCTATGCTATGTGGAAACTCTGGCATAGGTCCTTCGGGTAACGTTATGGTTTCGTTTGAGATAAAACCAGATCTAGCATAATCTGCTTCTTCGTACTCTTCCATCCATTTCAAAACCTAAATACGAAAAAAACGAACTGTCCGACTGTTATGGCATTTATAAAATTTCACGAACGGGTACATGCCTCTTTCTGAGTCCTGTTTGTAAACAACAAACCGCACTGTCCTCGTAACGCTTCGGCTAATTTATGCAGCCCTTCCGCGATTTCTTTGTCCGGCGTGTTGCCTAAGGCCAACGATATTACTTTGTTTTTACCAAAGAAAAACCGACTATCCTTCCATTCTGCTCTCAAGTCTTTCAGTTTATTGTTACGCATATTGTGTACCGAGACAAGGAATATCCTTGCATATTTTTCGACGGTGTTCCTAACATCTTCCACGATTTGTTGCTTCAAGACAAGGCCTTTCTTACTTGTTTTCGTAAGAGATACTGCGAAATACAAGTTTGTTAATTACTTTGTGACACACGCGAGTTTTTTTTATACTACCGCAGGTTAGTAGTATTCGATAACTTTGGCAAATTTCTTTTAGGTTAGGTTAAAAACTATACGCTAATAAAGAGAAAATTAACAACACGATAATATAGTACTGTAGAAAAACATTACTTTTCTTATCTCTTTTTGACTTAGGCATCTTGCTACCTAAGTATATTATATATTACACGAAAATACACATCGACGATTCACGTTATCAATCGGGTAAACACGTGCTACGGCCACGCGCACAATGAAAATGGCTTCGTACCGGATACCGGTTGAAATCGTCCAGGTTCTTAATTGGTAATTACTCTGAATAAACGACAATATATGCTACAATTTTCTTGATTTAAATCATACTATCTATCATAATCTGAATGAAATTATACTCTTAATACCGTAGTTCTTGTTATTGTCCTACGTACTACATCGAACAAACGTGTTCTTTGATTGATAATTAATGATAATATTTACGTATGCGCTTACCTATCTATTTTATTAGATATTTGCAATTGTAGATATGCGCATACAGAAATGAAAATAATTTATATCGAGAAATTTGAGAAGCGGCGGGAATGTGAATATCATTTTCGAACGAGCGGAAAGCGTCAAGTGAACGCAGTTCAAGATGGCGGCTTCCGCTCGTTGCGCCAGTGCACTCTGTGAGATCGTAGTGGACGGAGCTGTTGAATACACCGAAGCCTCAATTTTCTAGGCCGTTTACAGCACTCGAAAGGTGAGTCTTTTTTCAATATAATCGGACGTGTACTAGAGAGATGGCAAAGCTTCCGAATACGATGTCTTCGACGATTATCGGTCGCAATTAGTACGGAATGTATTCGAGGACGAGTCATGTGAACCCCGTAGCCGTACGATTCACCGATCCCCTTCTCGAATGCCTCGAAATAACCTGCATAACTGACTCGTTTCGTTGGATTCTGGCAATCGAGACTGTCTGATTCGACAGTAGAACACTATCCGCCCATCCAGTTTGTCGCTTGTCGAACAAATTACCATTCTAGCAAAGTTTGTCGAGCTGCTGTCGTGCAATACAAGATTGTACGAAAGCAGTCAGTTGCCGTTCGCATGAATGTATGCGACGCACGCGACACGCTAGCCCTAAACGTACGATATACTCTGGCCGCCATTTTAGTTACATAGCCGGCGACGAAATTCGCTTTCGTTCGGCAAGGAATGATTGAAAAATTTCTTTCTCCGTCTATTAATCTTGGGGCTGCATTAAATATTTCACGAGAGCCAACGACGTTTTCCTTGTAATTGAACGAAATTATCATTATCGATGGTTTGCGGAACAATTTTTTCTCTTTATATTTGATTCCTTATATGGCTCCGCGAAAACGAAGATAAATTGCGTGGCAGGTTATGCTTGTCCTCTCAGCAACGATGTTCGACCCGCTTATGCTTGAAATCGTGATAACGCATGGAGTACGCCGCGTCACACGTTCTTCCCGTAAGAGTATGTATGTATGTACAAGTTACGGCGGGAGCATACGCCCTTTGACAAACAAACCGATCACCAATGCTTTTGGTATTGCTTCGACACATCGAAGTTGATAAACACCAACAATGTCCAGAAAGCTATCCTGTGGATACTTGCACTTGATTTTCTTTTTCGTTTTACTGAACGATACCACCAAATACTTCATTTTATTCGATTCCATACAATGCCGACAATCCATTCGAAAAATCTGTTCCGACACTTTTTATTAAAATAAGATAAGTATATACAGTGCTTATAAGATTCGTGTTTTATACATAAGGATGAAAGTTGATAGTGAAAATTTGGTTAGTATTCGTTGCCAAGTCTTGTAAATCGATTTGCTTTCGAGGTTACGTTCAATCATGATCTCGTAAGAGGTAAAAGCGTATAGGAATGCGCCGAGGCTATGAGATTCCATCACAATGCAGCATTTCCAAGTCTTTTCAATAGCGATCATTCACGATGTAATCGGGATCAGGAGCGAGAATAACGTTAATCGACAATTTTAGCGGAAGGTAGGCGTTTATTCGTAGTGGGGGACCATGAACTCTCTTTCTCGCGCTCTACCCCCTACTCTTTCTCGGTCATCGAACAACTCCAACTGTCGAGGTCTACTCTTTTCGCCAAGGCCGACGAGAACAGCTCTCCTATGTCTTTCCGTTGTTCGTTTGCTCGCTCGCTCGGACCCGCGTCTCCTCGCCGTAGTGACACACCGGTGACGTTCATCCTCGTGGCACTTTGCTCGTACGTATTTGCGTAACGAACGTGTGGCTTCTTCATCGCAGAGGTTGCGCCGTATTCTTTTCTGCGTATCGCTCTGACGAATCGCGATAGCAGTGCCTCTTGTCATTCATCCTGAATGTGTGGTTTCCCTCGGATCGCTGGTTATTTCTCATGTCATATACAAATTATTTATACATATGCATGTACACCCACGAGTAAACTCGGCTTCCGTTAGGGGAAAAAGTGGCGTAAGAAAGGAGCTTCCTACCATTCAGTAAAATTGATTTCAGGTACTGAAATAAATGTTAAACCGAATGTTAATTTGGCATAAATTTCTGTAATTGCCAAAATTAAATGCTAGGAGGCCCTTCGCCTACCTCACTTTTTCCCCTAACGGAAGCCGAGTTTACTCGTCGGTGTACACTGAAGAGTGTCGTAAAAAATATAAACGTCACTATAAGAGGGGATCTTTGTCGACATTGTTTGCGAATCGTTTTTCGTTAAGCTTGAGGTACACCGTCTATGTATTCGGTTTAACTCGATGTATTTTCTAAATTTAAATAGATCCCTAGACGGTCGAGAACACGGTGAAATAACTGCAGGTACACGTATGTATGCGCCCACGCGTTTATGCTTGGCATAAATATTGCACTTCGTATTACGTCAATATACGCCGATAAATTTGCAAACTCATTCTCCGTTGAGTACTCCATTGACTATAAAACGGAACTAAAAGATTCCAGTTTCGTATTCTTGTGAGAAATCAGTTTTCCATTTCGTTATCCATTTAGCACGGTAAAGTAGAAAAGTCGGTGACACAAGCCTATCGATTTATGTTATATTGTGTCGGTCTCCAGGCGAGACCTACCCGTCAGTGACCGTATCGATTCTCCTTCAGTTTTTCGTGTTGCGTTAGTTGATTTTGGTCAGACGATCGGGATTGGTTGGTTTTCAGGACACTTGAAAATCAGCCGTTCGTAGACACAGACGAGTCAGTAGTGCTGATTCACGTAAGAATCGATAGTACTGTGGGAATCGATCTGAATGCACGTGACAGAGAATAATCGATCGAGTTGCCAGATACATAACTTGTTCGACAAGTTAAGTATATACGTTTACAAAACCATACTGGTTGGAAAATTCAGCGTTCCCATTCCGCCACTTACAATTAGGGAAGCGAAAAACGCAGTAAAACAGCGTATGGAGTGAATGTTCGAATAATCCCTACTGGCAATATTGATCTGGTGATGTACAGGGTGTTCCGCTTAAAACAGGCCACCTCTATCTCTATCTGTGATCATACGAGAAATATTTTTCATGTAATTTAAATGGTTTCAAGAGGGGGCCCCGATCTAAACTTTCCGTTTGTGTCAAAAAATAATTGAATGAAATTTCGATTACTGTTTCGCTTTGGAAATAATCAGAAATTGTACTAAATGTAGAAATAAATCGGATCAAAGTTGTTAAAATATTACGAAGCATTGTTTGTTATAATCAGGCGTTCGTTAGGAATACATAAATGATATTTAATTTTATTTAGAATAAATTTCAATTTTCAAAGATTTATGTATTTACGTGTTAAAATTGACAAAAGGAATACAGCCAATCACGGTTGTGTATATATTTATTTCTATTATCGTGCAAACAACGAATCTGGAACGGCGTAACGAAATCTGTTTTGGCGTTCGCGATCGAAAATTGTGGAACGTTCTCGTTTTTGTGGAGGACGGATAGGTAGACCTTGCGTCGGAAATTGAATTTTGCCCGGTAATAAGATCTTGCTTGGGACAACGTCGCGTGTCGTGTTCGATTGTTTCGCTTTCGTTTCCTCGTCGTTGCGATGTCGCGGCGCGTTTCCCCCAGTCTTTTTCTGAATTCTAAATGATCGCACTCGTTCTCGTTATGACAAACACGAAAAAATTATCTCGATTTCGAAATGTTGTGAGCTGCGTTGATTGTTCAGGTAATACAAGTAGTGATGTGACTGATACCGTACCGATATTATACCCTTTCTCCAAGTTTCAATACGGTATTGATATGTTCGATATTTTAGGCCGAGGTCTTTGATTTTTAAAAGAATTACACTCTTTCGACGTTCTGAGATAAGTGTCGTGCGGTCAGTCACAGTCCTCTTACCAAAAGGCATCGTTGTCTTTCCCACTCTGTGGCCAGATCCTCTAGGACAGGCTTGTCCAAGAATTTTGCCCCTATTTTTATTTTCATTTTTCCATATTGCTATTTCTCCTATATTATTTCTTAATTGTTGTTAGCTCGTAAATTGTATCATAATAATAAATTGTGTCCACAATTATTAAAATTGATCTTTATTTTGAAATTTACGTCTAATAAAAATAAACGCTAAAATGATGCTAATTTAAATATTTTCACTGCTACAAGAACGCTGGAATGAAAACTCAAAATATTAAAATTGGTAAAAATAGATACTAGAAATGCGTGTCTCTAAGTATTAGTGTCGATCCCATCCCTAAATACGAGAACGTGATCCAACTATTGGACGGGGAAATGTACTACACAAGATCCGTTACTACTGTGACAGAGAATTTTTAGAACTCCCTTTAATCTGGACCAGCCACCTCGACGCTCGGGTTAATCCGAATTGTTGGTTAAACACGGTCGTTGTATCGCGCACGGGTGTGTATTTGGTCGACGCGGCACGTCTGCTGGTGAGCAACGAACCACAGGGAGCTTGACATCAGCCGCTATTCCAAGACGGCTGACGCACACGCCTAGGGTCGCTCGCGTGATTCCGCAGAGAGGACAGACGTACGTTGGCGGTGTGAGTGCACGCGCGTATCTCAAATACACTTTTTGCGTACAAAACTTTTTGTCGAGTTACTCCGTCCCGACGAGCCTCGCGAGACACTGCGTGCGACAGCGCGACCGCGAAACGCACTCATTTTTCCCTTTTTGCGATCGTGGAATAGAGAGGTTGCGTTCCACGCTCGATAAATCTCTGTTGAGACCCGCCAAAAATATCCGTCCAGCCCTTCGTT